AGAACAAACGCATGAAATAGGGTGCCGCCACAGCACAATGAAAGCTTGAGCTAAAGGCCTTAAGGCCTTGCTGATGCTGCAAATTGTTTTCGGATGTAATAATTGCAAATTCTGCTGCATTGGTAGCCAGCCCAATAATCTGAACAGATCAAATGCAGTTTGCTTCATTCTGTGTCCAGTGGGGATGTAAAGGCTGTCTGCATTTATTTTATAAAAATAATTGTTCTACACAGGGAAATGGTGACACCTAGTGGGAAATGTAGGAATGGCAATTCTCAAAACAAGCTTGCATTCGCTGTCCTAAACACAATTAACATAAAAAGACACTATATGCCCCAGTAAGGAATACATGAAACAAGATAATTTGTAGGTCTGCCATCCATCTAAGTACCCACACAGAAGACAACAACATAAACCTCTATTTGTAAAAACCAAAACAAATCCATTCTGCTAACACCTTTCTTCCACAATTAAACATCCCAGATATGTTCTCAAGAAAAGGCACATTATTATTATTATTATTAGTATTATTATTATAACTGGCATTTATAAAGCGCCAAATTCCACAGCGCTGTACAAATGGGAAAAAAACAAACACAATAAGAACAGACTGATACAACAGGTAGAGGGCCCTTGTGAGTTTACAATCTAAAGGTTGAAATGGGGGTATGAGACAAAGAGGTAGCAGAGAAATTTGTATGTGATGGCAGAGAAAGAGTTAATGGTATAACTGCAGCAGCTGATAACATGTAAAGGTAATAGGGAGGTGATTGGTGTGGTTCCGAACAGCTGGAGGTGCATGCTATATAGTTAGAAGGAACCAGGGTGGGCAGAGCTGAGTAAAATTAAAAGGCCTTCATGTTGCAGGGATGGATTGTATGGGTCTACATTAAACCATAGTAAAACTGAAATAATGTTGCCATGGAAATATGGTAAGAACATATAGATTTTATTAAAGACACGGAGGCTCCTATTATGCATTCTCTTTCTTTATTATACTCCCAGCAGCAAGAAGAGGGAAGTATGAGAGAATCATAGAAAAAAGAAAACCATAACAGTATCCTGGTAACAGTAGCACCAATCAGCATCCAGTATAATCCATATAGGTGTAGTGCTCATTGACTCCTCCTCTTTCTTGCTGCTCCCTCAGACAAGTTAAATACCTCATTTTGTTTCTCTTGTAAATTTTATACATTTAGTTGTATTTAATTACTGCACATTAATTGAATGATTCTTAGATGATATTATTACAAGTTAGTATTATGTCATTCTGTGTTACTTCTGTTTTATGCCCTTCTGGTGTTAGGAGAGTGCTGCCTAACTGCTTCAGGGGAGTTATTTCTCCCTGCCCCACATGTTGGTTCTCTGTTGGGTGACTGGGGCTACTTACCTGGCTTCTGGTGCTTGGCACCTTCGGTTTACGTCCGTGGTATTTCCGCTGTTTTGCGGCAGGCCGCGCATGCGCGGCCACTGAATTTATTTTTCCACTTGCGGCCCGGTCGCGCATGCGCAGTTGATAGCGCGGCGGCCATCTTTTTGGTTTATATCGCCGGGAGTGTAAGTTTACACTCGCGGCGGCCATTTTAAGCGCGATTTCGGCGGGAATTTGCTGAATAAACCTTCTACCGGCTTCTCCTACCCGCACAAGCACTCTCCTAGGACCCAGACTGGGCTATAATTGCAGTGTATATTTCGGTTTTGTTTGTCTACTAAACTGTAAGTGTGGTGTGGAGGATTAATCTATCCTGACACCATTTTCTTTGCTAACTTTTCCTAAGCTAATTCCTTTACAGATTAAAACACTCTGCCAGTACTTTTAACTGATACCAAGTGTATAAGTGGATTTTACTGGCCTAATATTTCCACTAGTTGAACTAGGGTATATATTCCCTGTAAAGATTTTAACTGCTATGCAGGACCAGAGTGACAGACCTTCAGGGTCCATGTGCCCCACATCAGGCGTTTCCCCCTCTAACAAGGGAAGTAAAAGTGACGCCAGCCTCATGGCATCTGAGGAGTTTCAGTCCCTCCTGGACGTTACCATGGCACAATCCATTAACAAAGCTTTGACCTCTGCGATGGGGGTCATGTCGTCCTCTATCACTCAGTCTATAACAGAGGCATTGATACAGACACAGACTAGTGGCATGCAGAACACACGCAACCCGGTTCCCACTAACGTGGCTCAACCGGGACGTAAGGCGTTAGCAAAAAGCAGACATGTAACCTCCCCTCCAGAACTGCAGGTTCAGCCTGCATCGAATGACACGCTTCAGGCTGTCAAAGATGGCGCGATACCACCGCGCACTAGAGCCCCTGGCCGGGCAAAATCGTCCAGAACTGGGAAACGGGCACGTGCCCATGGGGATTCGTCCGATTCGGACCGCAGTGTGGAGGAAGAATATGAGGATCCCTATATGGATCATTACAGCGCGGAATTTTCAGATTCCGGGTCTGACATCCAAACAGGCGTTGCTACCCAAAAGAGTACGATTCAGGGCACTACGCCTCCTGGCTCTGGCGAGGGCGACTATTTGCGGGACCCACTGGGTAACCAGTTATTTGACCCAGATGACCTTCGTCATCCTCGATCGACGGCATGGGAGCCGCCTACTCACATCGCTAAGTATCTCGCACTTCGGGTGCGAAAGCCCTTATCAAAAGAGGGGCGCAATAAATTACGGGCAGAATGCCCACGACCCATCCTCCCAGACTCGGTGGAAAAGACACCGGACGTGGACCCTCAGTTGGTCCAATTCTTGAACAAGTCGGGTTGGAAGCCAAGGAAAGGATTGGATTTTTCCCTCAAAAACTGCCAAGATAAATTCCTTGATACTTTGGGACCCATAACTAAGCTTTATGAGCTAGTGGAGTCCGCCCAGTCGGGCGAAAGCGAATTTGATTTCGAGGTAGCGATAGGCTGGTTGCAGAGATTAGTCTGCATGGTAGGTAACGCCAATGCGGCTATGGCTACCGAGCGCCGCAAGGCGATTCTTCTAAAAATAGAGCCAAAACTGACCAGCATGGCGACCAACGAGCCGGGCCCAGCGGCTAAAGGCTTATTATTTGGTGAATCCTTTATTAAGGATCTTGGGCTGTACGTTAAAACGTTTACGGCAATTGATAAGGCTCAGACATCTCTTAAGAGAGTATTTGCACCACGGGTTTTTGGAGGGGCCGGCAGAGGAAGGAGCCGTCTGCCTGGCCGTGGATTTCGAGGCTCAACTAGAGCCGGCAGAGGCTCCTTTAATAACCAGAGACCGGTACCAGAGAGACACTATACCCCTTTCTTCCCATCTCGGGGACGGCCCTGGAGTTCCCGTGGACCACGGGGGTCTGTTTCAAGCAGAAGACCTTATGGTGAGTACCGAATATCTCCGTTTTTCCCCATGTAAAAGTGGGGGGCAGACTGGCATTGTTTCATCATGCTTGGAGAATGTTAACCGCAGATGTTTGGGTATTAAATACGATACAAGGGTACCTATTGGAGTTAACCTCCTACCCAGTTCAGACACAGCTCCCTCGAGAACTAACTATGACCAGCCAACACCAGGTGATGATCTCTACAGAGATCGCAGAATTAGCGTCCAAGCACGCTATTCAACAAATCCCATGGGACACAGAAGGTTTCGTGAGCAATTTGTTTCTAGTCCCCAAGAAAGGAGGCGGAGTACGCCCAGTAATAAATCTCCGTCCTCTAAATGCTTTTGTCCAATACCACCATTTCAAAATGGAGGGTATTCATTGCCTTCGAGACCTGCTCATACCATCGGATTGGATGGTCAAGATAGATTTGCGGGACGCTTACCTGACCATCCCGATCGCAGAGGCGCACCGAAACCTACTGCAATTTCAGTGGCAAGGAGCGAAATGGAGGTTTGTATGTCTGCCATTTGGCCTATCCTCCGCTCCATGGTGCTTCACAAAAGTGCTAAAACCAGTGATTGCCTTCCTGCGCACACGAGGGGTCAGATTAATAATTTATCCAGACGACATCCTGCTTCTGTCCCAATCTCAATCCCAACTTCGCATTCACCTATCCTGGACGATCCACCTTATCCAAAACTTAGGATTTTTGGTGAATTGGGAAAAATCAATTCTACAACCCTCCAGACAGATGGAATTTCTGGGTTTCCAAGTCGACTCTGTTCGACAGAGGTTGTGTCTACCCAAAGACAAAATGATTTCGATCAAGAAGGAGATCAGACAGCTTATGCATCGTACGACTATTTCCCTCCGACAACTTGCGAGGATCATAGGACTGTTGGCATCGTCCATACAGGCGATCTTCCCAGGGCCGCTACACTATCGTGCCCTACAAAGACTCAAAGCCTCATACCTACGCTCTGGTCACTCATACGAAACCTGCGTCACACTGGACGAAGACTCCAGGGAGGAACTAGACTGGTGGCTAACACACATGGAGGCATGGAACGGACGGGCGATATTTGGATCGACGCCGGACCTGGTCATAGAGTCGGACGCCAGCTTACATGGCTGGAGCGCGCATTGCGGATCAGTTTCCACCGGTGGCAGATGGTCGAACGAAGAGTCTCGGTTACACATCAACTGCCTAGAGCTATTGGCAGCGTCTTTTGCCATTCGCAGTATGACCCCCACAGGCATTTCATGTTCAATTTTAATCAAGATGGACAACGTCTCAGCGGTGCGTTATATCAACCACCTAGGGGGGACGAAATCGAAGGTTCTCGCTTTGATGGCTCGAGATTTTTGGCACTATTGCCTGAGAAACAGCATTTCAGTAATAGCGAAGTACATTCCGGGGCAGGACAATACAATGGCGGACTGGAACTCCCGATACCTTCGGGACGCGGGGGACTGGCACCTCCACCCAATGATTTTTCAGCGCCTCTCTCGGCTCTGGGGTCCTTTCAGTATAGACCTCTTCGCGTCTCGACTGAATACCCAACTTCCTCGATTCTTCAGTTGGAGACCGGATCCAGATGCTCTGGCAACAGACGCATTCCTGCAGGACTGGACCAAGGGCAGGAACTACGCGTTTCCCCCGTTCAACCTCATTTCTCGAACCCTAACAGTCCTTCGATATTCCAAGGGGACGCTGCACTGGTAACCCCGTTATGGAGATCACAACCTTGGTTCCCTCAGTTATTGGAAATGTCGATAGATTTCCCACAACTGTTGCCGGACATTCCCTACCTCTTAACCAACCCAGAGGGAATGAGTCACGAGCTGGTCAACCAGGGCCTACTGCAACTGATGGCATGGCTCATTTCAGGAGATCATGGAATCTCGAGGAGGTTTCGCAGACGACACTCAGTCTCTTGGCAGAGTCATGGGCACCAGGTACCAGACGTGCCTACGGATCGGCTTGGAGAAAATGGTCTGATTGGTGCATGGGACAGTCAATGGATCCCATATCAGCTTCTATAAAAACAATCCTACAATTTCTCACTCTACTCTTTGAGGAAGGAAAAGCCTTTCGCACTATAAATCTGTACCGATCAGCTATATCAGCGAGACATATGGGGTTGGATGGCACCCCAATAGGTAAACATGCCCTTATATGTCGCTTACTCAAAGGCATCCGTCTCACTCGACCTCCTCAGACTCGATATTCTTCCTTTTGGGATGTCAATCTGATGTTACGTTTGCTCGAGTATTGGCCAAAGAACCAGGAACTTTCACTGAAGCAATTGTCGACCAAACTGTTGATGCTGTTTTGTTTACTGTCATGTAAACGAGTTGCTGATGTCAGGGCGCTAGACTGGCATACACGTGTTTTTGTCCCTAACGGAGTATCCTTTAATATTTCACGTAGAACGAAATCCTCGACCAAGGAGGTGTTCTACCCATCATTGCCGGACAATCCAAGTTTGTGCCCTGTGTTATGTCTGAAAGAATACGAGCTTCGCACGGCTTCACTCCGTCCAGGACACACCCATCCACTGTTCATCTCATTCAAAAGACCCCACCTACCAGTATCTACTGCTACTTTAGCTTGTTGGGTCAAATGGTTGCTGTCAATGGCAGGCGTAGACACCTCGGTTTTTTCCTCGCATTCTGTTCGCGGAGCTATGGCCTCTAAGGCATCCATGATAGGTTGTAAATTGGAGGATATACTACGGGCAGCCGACTGGTCGAATGAGTCTACATTTCGTAATTTCTATTTACGCCCAGTGCAACACATCTCCAGTGCAGTGGTTGCTCAGCTTTAAAATAGCATAATAGGAGCCTCCGTGTCTTTAATAAAATTACCAGATTTTACTATTAACATGACGTAAAGTCATGATTTTATTAATGACACGGAGGCGAGTATTATTCCCTCCCACCCTACCCGGAGGGGTGAGTAAATTACAACCAGAACATGAAGCAGTTATGATGACTTCATACGGTAGGTACATGGTCATTCATGACACAGGTGAGTGGGTATTCTATGAATGTGGTTTATATGATACGCAGTTCGATCTAGCAATATGGCTGTCAAGATTTGATGTAATTCGTTTGATTAACATGATTGACGACTTGTTGGTTGCGGAATTCAGTCACGAAATTCGATATTACCATATTTCTCCTTTCTTTTAGCTTGAATACAACTGGAGAGTTGGCGGTTGAAACGGTTCTAAATCGAAGTTCCAGTTATGGTTTTGGTTCGTGGATTCGTAGTTATGGTTGGACTACTTGAAAATTTGTACTAATGGTCTTCGGGATCTACGCAGAAAGAGGAGGAGTCAAGGAGCACTACACCTATATGGATTATACTGGATGCTGATTGGTGCTACTGTTACCAGGATACTGTTATGGTTTTCTTTTTTCTATGATTCTCTCATACTTCCCTCTTCTTGCTGCTGGGAGTATAATAAAGAAAGAGACTGCATAATACTCGCCTCCGTGTCATTAATAAAATCATGACTTTACGCCATGTTAATAGTAAAATCTGGTAATTGTCTACTAAAATGTAAAATAGATCACGTGACTATAAGACGCACTATAAGCACCATAACTAGTAATGCTTACATCAGTAGTTTCAAAACAAGGACTCTGGGTGCAGTCCTGACAGTTTATCTTAAAGAAATTTCAGGCTATGTGGCAAAAATCAGAGTATATGCTGGCACCTTATCTCAGATTTTGACGTCATGAGAAAGTTTCGCCTTAATTATGTGGCTACAATGTGCAAGCTGCATTCAGTGATGTCAAATTACTGCTAAACCCCTTTTTGCACCACATAAGCCAGGTTTCCTGGTACCATCAAGGACATAAAGGAGCACTATGTGGTCAGGAACACAAACATGTATTCCTGACCGTATAGGGTTAAAACCACCATCTAGCCACCCTGGTCCCTTCATGCCTCCCTAAATAAAGTAAAATCTTACTTGTATTCAAGTCTGCAGCAGCATAC